TGCGCGGCCCAGCCCAGCCCCGAGGCCGGCGGGGCGGGGGCGCCGGCGAAGGCTGCGGGGAATGAACAGGGAGCAGGCAAATGTGCCCGAGTCCCGGCGGTGGGGGCAGGGAGGCGGCGGGAGGCGTATCGATAGAGTCGGGACAAAGGGAGAATCCTCGAGTATGCCGAAAAATAATGTCCTTTCCCGTTCCCATAGCCCTGCCGTGTGATTCATGCTTTTTGGGTGACTCAAAAATGCCTGGTTTCTCTTGGTAGGAACAAAGCGCTGCTGCTTGGCAGGAGCCCCCTCAGTCTTGGTCCCGGACTTAGCCTTGTCCACCCCAAGTGGCCCAGGGGGTAGGACTGTCTGGGTGGACTGTGGGCTTCCGCCCTGTTGGACCCAGCCTGTCCTTTTCCTAAATCCTTGTCACCGTCAGGGACTGGGCGGAGGTGAAGGGTCTCCAGGTCTGCGGAGGAGGGTCTTGAACTTAAACTGGAGGGCTTTTGCTGAGGAGAGAGCTGGGGGCTGCACAGCCTACGCTGCCCTCCCAGTTCCCTGGTGGCTGGCCGAGGGGCGAGGAGACCTGTGGGTCCTCGGGAAAGTTGGTTCATATCTTCCGGCCTTATCTGTCAAATTAGGGCTTTGGACTAGTTTAGTAGCTCCTAGACGTGCATTAGAGTCACAGTCGTTAAAAACAGGGGAACCTGGGTCCCCCACCCGGGAGTGGTTTGGGAGATGTGGAATTTGTATTGGGAAAAAGTCCCCAGAAGGTTTGGCTGCAGGGCCCTCTGGCCCTTGGGAACACTTGAGCTGGTTGCTTTCTCAGCTCCTGGTGTTCCATGATTCCAAGCCTTGTTTGCACTTCCTTGGGATGTGCCTGTGCACCCTCCTTGCCTTTTTCCCCAGTCTCCATCCCCTTTAGAGGAGGTTTGGCTGCAGGGCCCTCTGGCCCTTGGGAACACTTGAGCTGGTTGCTTTCTCAGCTCCTGGTGTTCCATGATTCCAAGCCTTGTTTGCATTTCCTTGGGATGTGCCTGTGCACCCTCCTTGCCTTTTTCCCCAGTCTCCATCCCCTTTAGAGCCTCCTCTCAACCCTCTGAAGGAGGCCAGAGACCTCCCTTTACATTCCAGTGTAGTGTGATTTGGAAGAAGAACCCTTTAGACAGAAAACATTGCTTTGAAGTTTACCGGCCTGGCTGTTTTTAATGCCATTTAAGTGTACGCAGGGTTTGACTTATTTACACGGCACACTGGAGTGGGGTGGTAGGGTAGGGGTTATGGCCTGGGGTATGGTGCCTTTCTCTAAGGTCGGTTTTCCAACAGCCAGGAAAGAGTCTTTTCATCTAAAACCAAAAAGCTTAACTAAACACTCAAGGCCGCAAAGTCATAGGTGTTGGGACACCAGGGATCTCAAAGACAGGTCAGCTTGGGAAGGATAAACTGAGTTTTCTCATGAGGTGCTCCAGAGTGTAGGGGGTTGGCTTTTTTTTTTTTTAAGGGAGAAGAACTTGCTATTCCCTGTTCTCATCCAAGTGCTGTTTTCTGGGAAGCAGGTTATGTGGCAAGGAGTCAGGAGACTTTGCTTCTAGTCTTGGCTGTCACTTTCAGTTGTGTGACATTGAACAAGTCCCTTTACCTCTGTATATTTTAATTTCCTTATCTGTAAGTTGGGAATAGTGATCCCTGGCTTTTCTCCCTTGCTGGGCTGTTGTGAAAATCAAGGAACGGTATTTTATTAAACTTTTTTCTTTTAGAATTTAACAAACCAAAAAAACTGCCCACAGAAAATTCAACTTTGTTTTAAGAAGTTTCTGGCCTTGGTAAGAGTTGTTCTGAAAGAGGTCTAAGTTTCCTGATTATTCTAACCAACTACCAAAATTGGTAAATTAGGTATTTACACCTCACAGGGGCTGTTTTCTAATTCTAAAGCTTAGATAAACTACAATAGAAAAAAAAAGTTTAACAGATTTGAATCAATCCATTAACATTTAAAAAAAAATCTGTTGATTATTAATCTGATTCAAGGGAGAAGGCAACTTAGAATTCTGTATTCTTTCAGTGTATTCAGAGTTGAATTGTTGGTTTTGAAACAGGCCTGAGACCTCCAGGGCACAACTGGAATGGTAGTTTGTGAAATACCGAGTGGGGTTATTTGCACTGGTAAAGATTAGTCCAGCCTTCTACCTCCTGGGATCTTTCAGGAAGAAACTGCTCTTGAAAAGAGAAGAGGGAGACTCAGGGCTGTTGCCAACAGCCTTCTCTGCATCCGCCCCCCGCACCCCCCATCCTCATGGCTCCATTAGAAAACCTCAACCAATCGGTTCCCATCAGTCTCCCCCAAGCCCCTACTTCCTGCTGCCCCTCCCCACCCTGAGCTTATTTTAGACCATCAAAGCTGGAAGATACATCAGCGATCTCGTTGAAGCCACCCCCTGTTTAATAGGGGAGGACACTGAGCCCTGGGAGGCGGGGAGCAGCCTCCACTGGCTTTTGCTCTTGGGATGTCGTCTTCCCAGGGGCAGACATTTCTCTGAGCGTTCTGTTTTGAGCTGTATTTCCTCAGCTGTGGGTTTTGTTTGTTTGTTTTTCACCCTAGAGAGGTACAGAAACCTCTTCCAGGGACTGTATTGTGGTATCAGACCTGGAAGGGACTTGGAGATCAGCTAATCTAACCACTTCCTTTTACTGGTGAGAAGACTGAAACCCAGAGAAAGGAAGCGACTTGCCCAGTTCAGGGACAGAGCTAGGATTTTTAAGCCACCATTCTTTCCCTACTCCTGTTCAGAGTCTACAGTGGCAGTCCCATGAGCATGTGTTGAGGACAGTAATGTCAAGGCTGGTTATGTTGCATAAGGTGCCTTGAGAATGCTGGCTTGGAGCAGAGGAGTTCCTTGCCTTCTCCTCACCACCGGCATTCAGAGTGATTTGGAATAATAAGCGAGAGTCGTTTATTATTTCTCATCCCATCTGCCAGTCCCAGTCCGCCCTTCACAGGGTGGCGTTTATCCTTCAGTCTTCCTGTGCATCTCTTTATGTACATATGCATGTATACCATTAAACCTTTTTCACCTAAACTGTGTGTACATATCTGTTCTACAGCATATTTTTTTGTCTGCTTAATGATAGTCTTAGAGCTATTTTCATCGTGTTACATATAAATGTACCAGAATCATTTTGCATATTGGACCATTAGGGATGTACTGTAAGTTAACCCATTTCCTTATTGACGAGCATCAAGGTTGCTTATGGGATTGCTGACATAAACAGTGACTGCTTCAGCGAGCAGCTTTGGAAATGCTTTTGTGTGTGTGTGTGTGTGTGTGTGTGTGCGCGTGTGCGTGCGTGCGTGCGTGCACGAATGCAAGTATTTCTCTGGGGCAGATACCTAAAAATAGAATGGCTGGGTTGACATCAAGTGCGTGCGTGCATGAATGCAAGTATTTCTCTGGGGCAGATACCTAAAAATAGAATGGCTGGGTTGACATCAAGTGCATTAAATTTTTTTTACAGATACCACCAAGTTGTCTTCCAAAAAAGGCTGTGTCGTAACATTTCCAAGACTGGCTATTATCAAATGATTTAATTCTTTATTATAATCTACCTAATTACTAGTGAGGTTAAGCCTCTTTTTACAATATTTATTGTTTTTGTTTCTTTTGTGGATTGCCTATTCATATTGTTTGCCCATTTTTTATCGGGTTAGTTCCCACACTCCCCATCCCCATCAATTTGTAGGAGCTTTCTGTATATGCTTTATGTTAGGGGTCTGCAGACTTTTTCTATAAAAGGCCAGATAGTAAAGATGAGGGTACTTCAAAAAATTCATGGAAAGATTCATATTATCTTTTAATTGTATTTTTCCATGAATTTTTTGAAGTATCCTCATATTTTAGCCTTTGTAGGCCCTATGGCCTCTGTGGCAACCATTTTGCCACTGTAGCATAAAAGCCACAGTAGACAATATGTAAACTAATGGGTATGGCTGTGT